ACCCACCTATTCCGTCCCTCGCTCCCATGTCTTCCCCTCCCCCTCCTTCCCTACCTCTCTTCTCCCTCGTCAACCCCTACCCCCATCTCTCCTCCCATCCCACCTCCCTCTCACTTCCACTCTTGCCCTTCCTCCCTCTTTACCCTGACCCCCCACCCCTCCCACCCCCCTCTTCCCCTCTTCTACCCACCCCACCCCTCCCACCCCCCTCTTCCCCTATTCTACCCACATCACCCCCTCCCCCTCCCCCCCCACTTGCGCGATTGGTATATAATGATCGCTCGCGGCAGACACTCCAGTCGGGTCATGGCAACGTAGGGAGACTATTTTGTATACGTGAGCACCGCCACTGTCTTCTAATGTGACTCTGTAAGATAAGGTCAAGCTTTTAGTGGAACCGGCCGGCTACGTGCTCTAGATCGCGTCGCGTTGTTTGTTGTGGGAATGAACGGGAGGGAGAGGAAGGATGGGTGGCGGCGAGAGAGGAAGGGAAGGGAAGGGAAGGGAGGGAGAAATATAAAGGGAGGTAGAAGAGGGGGATGGAGAGAGAAAAGAAGAGTAGACGAGAGAAAGAAAAGAAAGAGAGACGAGAGAGAAGAACAGACAGACAGGCAGAGAATAAGGGGGAAATGGATATTAAAAACAAAGACTTCTGTTATTTAACCTTAAGCGTTATTGAACATAAGTTCTTCAGGACAAAAGCTAAATGGTTCTCTTGAACTAACTGTTATAGGATCAGATTAAAAATAACTATAAATAAATAAACACACTTTCGCAAAGATATTCTTACTTTATTTATTATTATTAATCAACAGTAATCCATGTACTAAGTTGTAATTTATTTATTATAGAGATCATGTGAGAGAAAGAACTTACCAAAAAAAAAAGGTATGAAATAATGCAACCAGCACAATATATTATTGCAAAGATCAGCTATATGTGTTTCAAAGGAGTGATGTGTACTAATCAGTTAAGTATTATGTGTAGTTTAAGCAAATGAATGATTAATAGAAAGTTAAGACATTAATTAGTTCAGTAATGACATTAACAATGGTTCCTTGACGCCACATATCTTTATGTCTATATAACAGTCGAAATATCCATGTAGGCTATACTTCAACACTGTGTAGCAACAACATAGATATGTCAGATGGACGCAATATATTTTTTCCAGTAACCAATAAACATGTATAATTTTCCCAATCGAATTAACAATCATATGAACACACACAACAACACACACACACACGCACGCACGCACGCATACGCACACACACACACACACACAAACACAAACACACGCAAAACTCACACACTACACACATTTCCCGATTCGAAATATCCTTCTTGCAAACCCCCCTTCCATCCTCCCTCCCTCACTACACCCCTCTCCCCTATCCCCTCCCTCCCTCTCCCTCCCCCCTTCTACCTCCCTCCCTCACAACCCCCCTCCCTCCCTCCCTCTCTAACCCTCTCCCTCTCCCCTCTTCCCTCTCCTCCCCCCTCTCTTTATCTCTCTCTTCCCTCTCCTCCCTCCTCCCTCCCCCTCTCTCCCTCTTCTCCCTCCCTCCTAACCCCTCCCCTCCATCCCTCTCCAGTCCCTCTCTAACCCCTCCCCTTCCCTCCCTCCCCTTCCCTCCCTCCCTCTCCAATCCCTCCCAATCCCTCCCTCTCTAACCCCCCATCCCTCCTCCCTCCCTCCCCTCCAATCACTCTTACCCTTTCCCCCTTCTCAACCCCTCTCTAATCCCTCCCTCCCTCCCTCTCCCTTCCTCTCCCTCCCTAACCCCTCTCCCTCCCTCTCCCTCCCCTTCCCCCCTCTTTACCCTCCCTCACTCCCTACTCCCTCCCCTCCTCCCTCCCTACCCCTCTCCCTCACTCCCCTCCCCTCTCCCCTCCCAAACCTCTCTAATCCCTCCCTCCATCCCTCCCCTTCCCTAACCCCTCTCCCCTCCCTCCCTCCCTCCCTAATCCCCCCCTCCTCCCTCCCTCCCTCCCTAATCCCCCCTCCCTCCCTCCCACTCTCTCTCTCTCTCTCTCTCCTCTCCTCTCTCTCTCTCTCTCTCTCTCTGTCTGTCTCCCTCCCTATCTCCATTTCACCCTCTCTCCCTCCTATCCTTCCCATAACTTTTACCTTCACATCTCCCCCCCCCCCCCTCTCCCTTTCTCCCTCCCCCTCCTCCCTCACCCACCCTTCCCCCCCTCTCCTCCACACTCTCCCTCAACCTCACTCACCCTTTTCCCTATCATATCTCCCCTCTCCCCTATCTCTTTCCTCCCCACCTCTTCCGTCCCTCTCTCCCCCATGTCTTCCCCTCTCTCTCCTCCCCTCCCTCTTTTCTCCCCTCGTCAAACCTCTCCCCCCATCTCTCCTCCCACTCCCACCTCCCTCTCTCTCCACCTCTACCACCCTTTCCCCTCTTCTACCCCTTACCCCCCACCCCTCCCACCCCCCTCTTCCCCTCTTCTACCCACCCCCACCCCTCCCACCCCCTCTCCCCCTCTTCTACCCACCCTCACCCCCTTCCCCCTCCCCCTCCCACTTGCGCCGATTGGTATATAATGAATCGCTCGCGGCAGACACTCCAGTCGGGTCCATGCAACGTAGGGAGACCTATGTACGTGAGCACCGCTGTCTTCTAATGTTGACTCTGTAATGATTAAGGTCAGCTGTTAGTAGGAACCGGCCGGCTACGTGCTCTAGATCGCTTCGCGTCTGTTTGTTGTGGGAATGAACGGGAGGGAGAGGAGAGGATGGGTGGAGGGAGAGAGGAAGGGAAGGGAAGGGAAGGGAGGGAGAAATATAAAGGGAGGTAGGAAGAGGGGGATGGAGAGAAAGAAGAGAGACAAAGAGAAAGAAAGAAAGAGAGAGAGAGAGAAGAACAGACAGACAGGCAGAGAATAAGGGGGAAATTGATATTAAAACAAAGCTTCTGTTATGTTAACCTTAAGCGTTATTGAACATAAGTTCTTCAGACAAAAGCTAAATGGTTCTCTTGAACTAACTGTTAGATCAGATTAAAATAAATAAATAAATAAAAACACTTTCGCAAAGATTATTCTTATCTTTATTTATTTATTTTTTAATCAACAGTAATCCATGTAATAAGTTGTAATTTATTTATAGAGATCATGGAGAAAGAACTTACCAAAAAAAAAGGTATGAAATAATGCAACTCAGCACAATATTATTATTGCAAAGACAGCTATATGTGTTTCAAAGGAGTGATGTGTAACTAATCAGTAAGTATTAAATGTAGTTATAAGCAAATGAATTGATTAATAGAAAGTAATGACATTAATTAGTTCAGTAATGACATTTAACAATGGTTCCTTGACGCACATATCCTTATGTATATATAACAGTCGAAATATCCATGTAGGCTATACTTCAACCCTGTTTTAGCAACACATAGATATTTCAGATTGACAGCACTATATTTTTCCAGTAACAATAACATGTATAATTTTCCCAATCGAATTAACAATCATATGAACACACACACACACACACACACACACGCACGCACGCACGCATACGCACACACACACACACACACACACACACACACACGCACACACTCACACACTCACACACATTTCCCGATCGAAATATCCTTCTTGAAAACCCCCCTTCCCTCCCTCCCTCCCTCACTAACCCCTCTCCCTCTCCCCCTCCCTCCCTCTCCCTCCCTCCCTCTACCTCCCTCCCTCACTAACCCCCCCATCCCTCCCTCCCTCTCTAACCCCTCTCCCTCTCCCCCCTCTCTCCCTCTCCTCCCTCCCTCTCTCTATCTCTCTCCTTCCCTCTCCTTCCCTCCCTCCCTCCCTCCTCTCTCCCTCTTCCTCCCTCCCTCACCTCACTAACCCCCCTCCCTCTCCCTCCCTCTCCAGTCCCTCTCTAACCCCCTCCCTCTCCCTCCCTCCCCTTCCCTCCCTCCCTCTCCAATCCCTCTCCAATCCCTCCCTCTCTAACCCCTCCCTCCCTCCCTCCCTCCCCCTCCAATCACTCTCTTACCCTCCTTCCCTCCTTCTCCAACCCCTCTCTAATCCCTCCCTCCCTCCCTCTCCCTTCCTCTCCCTCCCTAACCCCTCTCCCTCCCTCTCCCTCCCTCTCCAATCCCTCTGTTACCCTCCCTCCCTCCCTCTCCCTCCCTCCCTCCCTCCCTAACCCCTCTCCCTCCCTCCCTCTCCCTCCCTCCCTCTCCAACCCCTCTCTAATCCCTCCCTCCCTCCCTCCCTTCCCTAACCCCTCTCCCTCCCTCCCTCCCCCTCCCTAATCCCCCCTCCCTCCCTCCCTCCCCCCTCCCTAATCCCCCCTCCCTCCCTCCCTCACTCCCTCCCTCTCCCTCCCCTCCCCTCTCCCTCCCTCCTTCCCTCCCTCCCTACCCTAACCCCTCTCCCTCCCTAACCCCTCTCCCTCCCTCTCTAATCCCTCCCTCTCCCTTCCCTTCCCTCCCTCTCCAACCCCTCTCTAACTCTCTCTAACCCTCTCCCTCTCCAACCCCTCTTTAACCCCTCCCTCCCCTTCCCTCCCTCCCTCTCCCTCCCCCTTCCCTCCCTCTCCAACCCCTCTTTAACCCCTCCCTCCCCTTCCCTCCCTCCCTCTCCCTCCCCCTTCCCTCCCTCTCCAACCCCTCTTTAACCCCTCCCTCCCCTTCCCTCCCTCCCTCTCCCTCCCCCTTCCCTCCCTCTCCAACCCCTCTTTAACCCCTCCCTCCCCTTCCCTCCCTCCCTCTCCCTCCCCCTTTCCTCCCTCTCCAACCCCTCTTTAACCCTCTCCCTCTCCCTTCCCTCCCTCTCCAACCCCTCTCTAATCCCTCTCCCTCCCTCCCTCCCTCCCTCTCCAATCCCTCCCTCTCCAACCCCTCTCTAACCCTCTCCCTCTCCCTTCCCTCCCTCTCCAACCCCTCTTTAACCCCTCCCTCTCCCTTCCCTCCCTCCCTCTCCAATCCCTCCCTCTCCAACCCCTCTCTAACCCTCTCCCTCTCTCCCAACAG